GAAACATCAATGTGATAGACACATCTATTGGTTGCCTCCTGCACGGGCCCCAGCAGGAATCAAGCCTGCAACCAAGGTACGTGTCCTTGACTGGAATCGAACCCAAAACCCTTAAGTCTGAGGGCTGACACTCTAACCACTGAGCCAAGCAGGCTAGGGCGAGAGACAGACATTTAAAGGAGATAGGACTAAATGAAAAGTGGCCCAGAAAATGGAGGATGCTGAAATGCTCAGTGAGACCTAAAATAATGGAACCCAGGAATCTAAAACCTGACCTAAGTCAATCAGGGTGCACCATTATGGAAAAGTAAACCATTACCTCAGAGTCATGCTAATTTTTTTAATATAAACACTATTCTTGAGCCCCCACATCCTCACCCAGGCTGATGGCTCAGGGCCCCTGCCTTGCTCCAGCTTCACCTCCCACTCAGGCAGCAGGAGCTGCCTCTGTGAAGCTGATGCTGAAAAAAGATTTCACTACTCATAAGCCTGTGACCAGCACAGAAAGTCATGGTAACAATCATCCCTCTACACAGGCACCTCAGGCGGTAAGTTATTCTTCTGTAAACCTTTAAGGTAGCCCTGAGTGCTCGTATTATTACCATTGTGATGATTATTAATAGCAGTTAACATTTATTTGGGGCTTACTATGTGCTTTGTACAATACTAAGTGCTTTATGTATATTATCTCATTTAATTCTCATGCCAACTCCATGAGGTAGGCACTATCATTATCATACTCTTTACAGATGAGGAAAATGTAGCTACGAGAGAACAAGTAATTTCACCAAAATCACACAACTAGTAATAAGAGAGGCAGGATTTCAACCCAACTGTGTCCAATTCCACGGTCCACACTCTTATTAATTACTGTACCATTTTGCCTTTAAATTCACCTGCATCAAAAGTGATGAGGAGAGCCAAACACAGCAATACACTTTCAATCTCAGGCTCTTGGCATCCATTTCTAAAGGTATATAGGGAAGCAGATTCCACAATTTCCCTTAGTTATTTACTCAGCTTTAACAAATCTGGTTTTAAAGAAGTTCCTTCTTCTAACCAACAAATCCCGCCCACTGTCCTCTGAGTCCATTTCCTTTTATGACTCCAGTGGAAGAGAGTAGCAGAGATGAAGACATACAATATGACCCTTTGTGCACTTAAGACTTCACTTCCATTCTTTCCAGTGTGCTGTCTGCCTGCCTTTATACATGCATTCAGTTTAATAATAGCAGCTACGATTCACTGGCACCAATTCTGTGCCAGACACCACATACATACATTGGCTCCCTCCTCCATAATCTCTAGGATCCCAATTTGCAAACAATACTTTGAAGGAATTACAGCTAATGGAGAGATCCCTTTGCCCAAAATGGGGGAGTAAAAGTTCTGGGATTTCAGATAAATAATGACTCTCTGTTCTAGTAATATTTGGGGTGGGGGGGTCTTAGTTTCCACTATCTATGCCTCTTCTGTGCCTCTTAGGAGAGTGGAGAGATCAAGACTTCTTATTACAAAGGCTAAAGACCTTTGTACCTTCACTCAGCTAACCTCCAGGCACTCTCCCTGACAGCCAAGCCATCCTTCTCCTTAAACTATAGTCAAGCTTGTTGAGTTCTACCCATTCACATACTATATTCATCATGAGTATCCACTGTGTGCAAAGACCTTGTGGGAGACACTAGATGAGCTCCAATTCCTGAACTCAAAACTTAGTCTCCTCAGAAAAGCAAGACTTGCACATAAAAATGTTGACTATGCAAAGTAATAATTCTACGCTGGGAGGCAAGAGGCATGTGAATGTGTGATATACGAGGCCCCTTCCCAAATGAATCCAACCAAGGTCAGTGATTCATTCTGTGAAAAGGTGAACGCAATGGGCCAGCTTCTTTCTTAGAATGAGCTTTTACAGACATGTTATTCAAACTCAAGTCTAATGTGCAATGACCAATTTACTGCCCCACTCCAATCACAGCAAGTGGAGCCACCCCAACAAGCAGCTCAAGACAAAATGGCAGCGAATTAGGGACAAGGAAGTATGTGGAGACTAGATTCTGTCCTGTTGCACTGACCCAAGCAATCAGACTCCTGCAGCATATCTCCTACCAATAAAACTTTCATGCCATAGGCCAGGGGTGACCCAATCCAACAGCAGCAGAGACAGGTTTTAAGTTTCACTTCTCCCTCACCCGGATGACCTCACTATTTCTTCTCACTCCTGACCACATACCACACTCCTCCTGGCCTGGCCAGAGAAAGACTGGCAGTAATACAACCCAGAAAGAAGGGAACTCCCCCAAAAGAGGAGCTACCACTTTGCTAATCAAGAGGCCTGTTTTAACAGGGAACTCCACCTTCCCCCTCCTTTTCTCAAACATTGGTACAAGCAATGGCTCCATTTTCTGTTCCGGGAATCCTGGTACTTCCTAAAGCAAGCAAGCGGATTGGAAGACACAAACTCAGAGCCAGCGACAAGACGCTCCTTCCTCCTGTGAGATCGCCCCCGCTTCGCTTGGGGGAGAAAAGCACCACCTCTCTTCTCAAAGCAAGAACAGATCCCCCTCCCCCTTCTGCCTCCTCTCCTCCCGCTGCCCACCAGCTGCCAGCCCTCTTCCAACGTGCAGTTCCTAAGAAAGCGCAACCTCCACCAGAATAGTGCCCCCGGGGTGATCCACTAGTCGGTCCGTCCCGCTACTCCCTAAACCAAACCCCCTATGCACCCCTGTCCCATAAGGGTAGAGGTGTCACCACAGCAAGGCTTCTCTTTGGTCTCCTATTACTAAGGTGGAGAGGAAGAGGGGGTAGAAAACAGCAGCATTCCCTAGCCCTTTAAAGAGAAAAGGATACAAAACAGCCATCATCGCCCCCGCATCACCTCTCCCTCGACTGCTTTCCTCCTCCTCAATCCCGACCCCTCCAAAGTCCACCTTCTGCAGGCGAGGGGAACCTAGCTGCAGCACCGAGGTCGCCCCCTTGTGCGAGGCGGAGGACAAATCCGTGAGCTCCCCCCACCCCCACCCCCGCTCCGCGTCCTTCAAATGCGGGAGCAGGCGTGAGGCTAGCCCAGCGCCCCTTTTCCGAGCTCTCCGCTGGGAAGGACCACCCCACCCCAAGCCAGGCAGTGCCCGGCAGGGGGCTCTATGCCCACAGCCCCCACCCCAAGCCTCTCTTCTACCGGGACCCGCCTTCCCTCCCCAACCCCTCACCTGTTCCTGCTCCCAAGCTCCGCCGCTGCGGCCGCCGCCTCCGCCCCCGCAGGTTCCGCTCGGCTGTCGCTCGGCTGTCGCTCGGCTCCCTCCGGCTCCCCCCGCCGATTTCAACACGGCGGCTCCCCCTGCCCGACTCCCCTACTCCCTCCTTCCTTCCCTCTACCTAGCACCGGAAGAGGCGACAGCGACGGGAGCTGTGCGGCGCACCCCCACTCCCAAACCGGGATACTTCCCACCTCCTCGATCGCGCGAGAGCTGCGCGGCAGCGAGCGGCCGTTCTCGCGAGAGCCATCACCATGGCAGCGGCTGCAGCAGAGGCATCCGGGTGTTAGAGTTGAAGCCCGGGCGGGGGCCGATATGGGGGCTGAAGGCTGTGGGCAATGGAGACCCGAGCCAGGGAATGAGGATGAAGCAGTGGGGACTGAAGTGACAATACAAAGCTCCAGAGCCGTACCTGACATTTAAGGACTGGGGCCGGGTGCTGGCCACACTGGAGACGGGTTGAGCTGAGAGGCCGGCGGGCACCTTGGGCAAAGCCAGCAGCGGGGTATGAGTGAATAGGCGTTGCTCTGGCCCACCTAACTCCTCCAGACCGCATTTATTTCTTAACCAAGGCTAGCAGCATCCCCCTGAGAGCTCTCCTACACCAGTGTTACTACCACTTGGTTTCTCGGGGGTCTGAATCAAGATATCCTTTCCCGTAGGGAGGAGAAGGGAGAGTGATGAATTTAAGAGACTGAAGGAAACAACTGAACTCTGGGCCAATTAGGAAGTTGAAAAGATGAAGATTGAAGCCTACTATTTAGAGATGTGGTTTGAAAAAGTGTACCTAGATAATTATGAATTTTAGTACCCAAGGAAAGTGAGAGACCTTGGGCCGCTGTTCCTGCCCACCCCCACTTCCCTTACACTCGTTTCTGCACCTGGTCTAGATCTGCAAAGCTATGTTCCAACACTCAAGGCTGTCAGAGAAGAAGGGCACTAGCAATGCTAAGAATAGAAGAAATTTCCCTCTCTCTACATTTACAGCAGTATAAGGGAACACATGGCTCTTCCCTAAGCCCTGAGCCAAAAATGTTGCTCTTCTGGGTTTTTTGCCTTGTTTCTTGTCTTCTTCCAAGAAGAAGTAGGCTGGTAGATAGCCACACTATATCTGCCTCTTATCCCCATCAACCCCTGGTGTGTGCATTCACCACCTTATCCCAGTCTGTTTTCTTTCCTATTTCAACCTGGAGAATAACATGACCCTAGAATGTGAATCCAAGAGGACCCTAATTTAAGACGGTGAGAGATGCGATGGATAACAAGGAGCATGTTTATAACAGAGTTGTATCTGTTTTGGGCTGTGGCTGATAAGGGCCTTTAAGCTGCTAAGCTTTTAAGTGTTTTGAGTGGTAAAAGACACTTCCAGTGTTATTACAGACTCCTAGAATGGGCCCTGTGATACCTCCACAATTATTTTACTCTTCCCATTTCTTTTCCTAGAATTTTCTAGGGACCACCCCCACCAGGTTGTGTCACCATGCTGATCCCCAAAATTATGCTTTACAACCCCCCTTCCCCAGTATCCAACCACACCAACATTCTTACAGGAGGTGGAACCTGTCAGTGTTACTGCCCAAGACTTCAGATCCTCTCAAGGTTGGGTCCCAGGTGTGACAGAAGAATGGAAATGGTATCAACCTAATATGGTAGGCAGTAAGTACCATGGTATTTGAGTCAGAACTAGTGAATGGGACTGGAGAATCTCCTAGCCCTTTCATCCTTCACCCCTTTGCAGTCTTGAGAGGAAAGTGTCTGTTGCAGCATCACTGGGTGCTTCCCATGGAGCAAACAAAAGCAAAGGTAAGAGAGGTGCTGCCTAGTTCACAATTAGCCAACCACTGCCACTCCCCAGCTTCCCAACCACACTTGAAAGGTTAAGGGAGAAGAGCTAATCTAGAGCTGAGGGAGGCAAAGAGACCTGACTTACAGTTCATCTGTCTTTCTCCCTTCTTCTGACTTCCACTGGAGCTAAGTAAAAGCTGAAATTGTAGCCACCCGCTCTGTGGGTTGCACACTCCCACGCCTGCCACTGACCCCAGGCCTGGGCCTGAGCCCAGCGGCGTGTGCCGGGAGCAGGGGTGGGGAAGAGTGGGGTGTTGGCCTTGCTGACAAAATCCATTTGGAATTTCTCAAGGTTGTGGTTTGGGGCTTAAGTTTGCCACAGAGTATGTCTGATGAAAAACGAGAGCTAGAAACAGAGAAAGAGTCAAAGTAGTACAGAGGAAGGAAACCAGGAAAAGCTAAAATATTCTTGCTGTGACTCCATTGGAGATTCTCCTTGCTCTTCCTGAGTGTGTAAAATTCCCATTCTGGACATTCATTATTCTCTCTCATATTCTATGTCCATTCTAGCTGCATCCCTCTCTCCCCCACTCCCCCCACATACTCACCAGACTCAGTCAGTGCCTGAAGTAAGGATGAGATATCTTCCTGCCTCCATCAAATTTCCAAACCCAGAATTCTCAATGCTCAAGTGGAAATTTAGGACATAAAATTTTGCCACTAAGTACTGCCCTAACCCAACACTCCTCAAAATGTTCATACTACCCTGGTGCAAGATAATGGTTTGTTTTCAAAGATATCAGGCTAGGAATAGAAAGATTAGAATAAAAGACACTCTCTTTTTTCTAGTATGTTTCTTCTAAAAGATAAAGGAATTATTTCACTAAAATTAAATGCAGAAGAGCTCTAAGAAAGGACAAAATACATATGCAAATAATTCACTGGGAGAGCATGCTGGTTTTGCTGGTTTCCAGAGCAAAAAAAAACAAAACTTCCCTTTTGAGCACAGGAATCCCTTTTATATGTTTCCTATTAGTCTCCTATCTACCTCCCAAGTTCTCTGATTTGGAGCCAGAGAGAAAAGCACCTGCTCTTTTGGGTCTAAGTTCAATGTGGAGATACCTTCAGGACTTGAAAACTCCAGAACAAAGGTAACCTCATAGTGTGGGGCAGGGGTCAAAAAACTACAGCCAAAGGACCAAATCTGGTCCTACAGCCTGTTTGTGTGAATTAAAATTTAGTGGGCATCCTTTTGTTTATGTATGGTCCATGGCTGCTTTTGATCTACAACAGCAGAATTGAGTAATTATTGTAGGGTTCAGTAGTTGTGATGAAACCCACAAACCCGATATATCTATCAAGACCTTTACATGGGCAGGGAGCAACCCTTGTTCTAGGGCAGTGACTGAGGCAAAATCTGGAGTTGAGGCAAGTAGATAGTAAATAGAGCCTATATTTAGATCTCTAGCCCCTCACACCTAGAAGTACCCCCTGGTTTTTCACACTAAGACTTGCTAGCTAAGTTACTGAGACCCATTTCAAATCCTTTGTTGAACCAGCAGGATACATGTAAGTAAAGTCACTGAGTGTAGAAGGCTAGGAGAATTCACCTGAAAAAGAAGCCATGGACTGGGATCCCAAGTGTGGGCAGAAATAACACCAACTGCCTGGGATGGGGAGGGAGCCTGATGGAGAGGGGTAATGGAGGGAAAATGGAGAACATCTGTAATACTCTTAACAATAAAGATAAATTTAAAAAAAAGAAATATCACCATCTGCACCCACTGGTCCAGTAACTTAATTTATTTTAGTTACAAACGGGAACCAAGAACAAGTCTCAGTACAATAAATTATCCATTCCCACCCTCCTGCTAAAGAAAGAAAGAGAGGCTCAGAAAGTTGTAGGACGTTCTTCCTTTGGAGGGTCCTCTTTAACATATGAATGGAGGGCAAATAGCTTCCCTAAGGGCCTGGACAGATGACTCTGAGGACTCAGGGGAGAGCACTTCCCAGCACTCTGTCCCATCCACTGTCTCCCATTACCCCACAAGAGGGGACTCAGGCTGCAGTAGAGGAATTCAGGAACAGCAAATGGAGTGAGTGGTTTCTTTCTGGACATAGGTCTCATGGCTCCACACAGTGCCTGGGGCTAACCCTCAAAGGAGAAGAGTGGTCAAACTATAGGGACTCCCCAGCCAAATGGAGTGTGAATCAGAGTTAAATGGACCCCAGGGTTGGGGAGAGGGGGCAATACAGTGCATTTCATCTTAGTCCATCCAGGTGTTTAAGGAGCAGAAGAGGGGTGACATCTTCCCCCCCAAGGCCCTTCAACTGTGGGGGGAGAAGGCCACACATCACAGACTCCATCTGACCTCCACCAACCCAGAAGCTATTTCCAGGTAGATACTTTGAGCTTCCAGGGGCCAAGATTGACCTTGGACAGAAATTAGAACAAAAGGTTGAAAAGGTGCCCCTCCCCTTCCCCCAGCCTGCTGTGAGGGTGACCCTCACTTACACACGTTGACCCACTCGGTGACCTTGCACTCATCACACAGCACATAGCAGCACCAATGGAAGCGGCAATGACAGCGCTCAACTCTTGTCTGCCGGAGCACGTTGTGCCCACGGCCACAACACAGGCTACCACAGCCATCCAGCTGGCGGCTGGTCTTGTTGCAGGCCCGGCCCCGTGTGCCTGGGGAGCCCACGGCGGGGTCTCGCTCACAGAAATCAGGAGACTTCTCAAAGTAAACCAGCTCTCCTGAGAGGCGACGGGGACGCAGACGGGGCTGGAAGGCTCCGGAGTTCCGGTTGTGGGTATCGATGAAGATGGCCCTGCCCAGTCGCTCCCTTAAGGCTGCCCCCACCGCCCGGAACTCTGGGGCTGCCCTCCAGCAGGTCTTGAACTGGCAGCTGCCTGAGGTGCCATGGCACTTGCATTTCCGTTTTAGGTTTTCAGTTACCACCTAGAGCATCAGAGGGGGAAGAGGTGAAGGAAAGGGCAGTAAATGCACAGAGCACAGAGGCACAGAAGAGGGGAGGGAACAGAGGGGCACAGGGAGGGACAAACAGGCAAGAATGACCAAATGACTGTGGAATATTAGAAGAAAAAGAGGCTGGCTGATAGCCCAACTCCCTCATTTTATGGTTGGAGAACTGAAGCCAGAGCATCTTCAATCACTAGCTGGTAATAGAGACTCAGATGATACTAGCTGGTAATAGGACTCAACTCCAGTTGTTCTGACTCCCAGTCCAGTGCTCTTTCCAGAATGAGCACTGCTAAAATGGAGAGTCTGGGCCCAGAGCACTCCTAAATTCCATAGGGAAGAAAGCTGTAATAATAGCTACCATGTAAAAAGCACCTGTCAAGGACTAGGGACTCTGCTGGGGGCTCTATTTACTAGCTCACTCTTAATGACATTGTAAGGTAGGTATCCCCAGACTCTCTTTACATATGCAAAACTAAGGTTAAATGGCTTGCTCAGGGCCATCCAGATGGTGACAGTCAACCATCACTTCTCATCCTCTTACTCCGCCATGCCGCTCAAACTCCAGCCACACCCGGAAAGCTAGGGAGACCCAGGATATTTTGCACACACGTACCTGTCGCCCCACCCTGTTGTTGTGGATTCGCATTCGTGCCTGGATGTCCCGGGGAGCTTCCCTGGAATCCAAGAAATCCCGAGAGAACTTCTCTCCAAAGTCCATGTCATGGTTACAGCCACCCCATTCCCATGTGTCCTGGGGGCTAGGGCTGGGGCCTGAGCCAGGGCCGGGGCTGGGCAGGGAGTGGGGGAAACTCTTGCCCCGGGACAGTGCCTGCAGCTGCAGCAGTTTGGCCCTCAGCCGGTCCTGCTCACCACTGCCCTTCCAGCCGCAGCCGCAGCTCACCAGCTTGCCCAGGCTGCAGGCTGTAGCTACTGCGTGCATGACCCCAGCAGCCAGCATGGAGAAGGAAAAGGCACTCTCACGGAAACCTGGGAATGAAAGGGTGTGACGATCAGGGGTAAGGTTGACAGGCAGCTGAGAGTAGGGAGGCAGAGGGAAATAAACAGCCACCCTCCAATTCCAGAAATTCCTAACTGAATCCTGACCCTGCCATTACTAGCTCAGTAATTTGGGAGAAAGGCGCAGGAGAAGAAAGGGAACTGAAAGCACAGAGCCTCAGTTTCCTCATCTATAAAGCAAGAGGATGGGTTGAGAAGATCTCTGAGGCCCATTCTTGCTCTGTAAGTCTGGGATTTTCAGGTGTGGATGAAAGAGCTTGCCTAGAGCGAAAGACCCCTGGGGTTGGGAGTCCCTGTGGTCTTTGAAGATGTGTTCACTGAGTTCTACATCTGAAAGCCTTAGAAATTCCCCAGCCCTGCAGGGAGCTTGGGTGGGGTGGAAGCTGAGGCAATTGGGGTTCATTTTCTTCTTCGGGGTTATTTTAATCGGTCTTTTAACCAACCTATCCTCCACCAACCCCAAAGCCCCAAAGCACTGGAGCTGTGGAGCTGTCCTTCACCTTTCCAGTTTCTAGTTTTGTATTTGTCCTTACTACTGCTCTTTATGTTTATCCTAACCTGCTGTTACTCTATAAAATACTGGGAAGGGGAGAGAGGTAGGGGTGATTTTCCCTAAGGCTCTCTTAAAACGTTGGCTCCTTTGTTTTGTTTTTGGGGTCACAGAGGCTCAGGATGACAAGCCTTACCCATGTGCTTCTCATTTGGGCATCAAAGCCTTCCCCTACAACACGTCCTCTGGAGAAAGAGGGGATCCCTCACTTCCTTTTAGGCAGGGGCTCCCTGGAGCCCTTAGAGGATGAGACACAGCAGTTCCTTAGGGGCCAGGCCTTTCCCACCCCAGGATGCAGGGCTCCTGGCCCAACCTCCTGATCCCCCCCAACCTCAACCCTCCAGGGGTGAAGCTGTTTGCACACGTCTTGGGAATTCCCCTGCAGATGGCAGCTGCCTATTAACCCTGTAGTCCCCGAAGTCCTGCCCCCACCCTTGAGCTGAGCCCAGGATGGGTCTTTACTCCTCCTAGGAGTAAACTGGAGCATGGCCTGGCAAGAGGCATTGATACCTCCCAAACCATGCCTCCCAGACCAGGCCAGCAGTGACCTGTTCTCCACCCCTCCAGCCCGTTCCCCACCTGCTCAGGTGAGAGCCACCTGGGGCCCCCACAGCACAGAGGAGGGGGCTGCTCCCCTGCTTCAAAGCCATCAGGATCTTTGTTCCCAGCCTCAGCTCCTGGGAACCCCAGTAATTAGGAGAATAGATTTAACCCTTAAACGGTTGGGGGTGGCACCCCACCTCCACTGAGCTTCTGGGGACACCAGCCTGGGCTTGTCCCTCCTAGAGTGAGGGGGGTGAAAATTGGGAGAGTGAATGGAGGGGGGGGGCGTTTGAAGCTTCCAGGGCTGGGGGCATCTCTTGTTCACAGGTGCAACCCAGATCCAGCTGGGTGGAAACAGGAAAGGGGGGCCTTAGGGTATGGGAGCAGGGACCCAGCTGCATTGCCGGCAGCGAGCAGGTGGAAGTCAGAAGCGCAGGGGCCCAGACGGGTGGCCAGACCCAGCTCCTTGAGGCTCCCGGGGGGGAATTCCCCGAGAGGCGCCTCCCCGAGTCGAGTCGTGAACCCGTCCCTTCCCGCCTCCGCTCGCCTTGGCCTGTCCCCCACCCCCAGCCCCAGCGGCGGCGCAAATCCGCCCCGCCAGGCTCACCGCGCTTGAGGATGGCGCTGTGGTGCGGCAGGCGGCCGCCGCCCTCGAGCGCCGAGCAGTTCCAGCGCTGGTCTCGCAGCTGGTGCTGACACTCGTGGACCGCGATGTGCAGGCCCTGGAGCGCGGACGCGGTCACGTCGGGGCTGCGCAGGCACAGACCTAGCTGCCGCTTGCTCAGGCCCGACAGCGTCAAGCACACGGTGTTGGCTGTGAGCGGTGGCTCGCCGGGCAGCTTCAGGCCCAGAATCTCATTGGTTAGGGCCCTGGGAACGGGGAAGGCGTTTCTGGGTCTGTGGTCCAGGACCCGCGCCCCCTCCGAATCCTCCCGCCCTGGGGCGGTGCTTCTAGCCCGGGCTTTGGGGTGGGGTGGGGCTGGGTGACAGCGGGAACTGCTCACCGACTGCAGAGCGCCAGGAACAGAAGACCCGCGAGGCCCCAGGGCGGAGGCCGCGGCCGGGGCTCCTCCTGCATGTCGAAGCCCGGGCCCGAAGGCCCCGGTGGGCAGATCGATCAGGGCCTGCAAGACAAGGAGACTTAAGGAGGGCTCCAGAATAGGGTGGCTCGCCTGGCCAACTGAAAGATGCCCAACTTCGGGCTCTTAACTCACTAATGTCACCCCGCTGATGTCACTGACCCTTCTCATCTCTCCCCAAACGAAACAGTAAGAATCACCCCCTTGACTCCCAGAATCTCTGGGCCCTGAAGGAAGAGCGGAGGCCTCGCAGCTGAGACTTAATCGAGCGCCCCTGGATCAGACCCACCCATACGCAATGCCAGGCACACGGACACACACATTCAAATTCAGACACACGTACTCACGAACACGGCTCCACCACCTCGCACCGCTCCCTCTTCAAGGGCCCCACGACTCGCTTCCCCCGCCCTACACAGCTTCACGCCCTCACAGGGCTAGGGGGCGGGATTGGGAGGGGGTTCCCCACCACCTACTGCCGGCGAGGTGGGGGTGGGGTGGGGAGAGTGTCGCCTTCAGTTGCCGTCGAGGGCAGGCAGCCTCCGCGAGGAGAGTGGAGGAGTGGGTTCTTCACCCGCTCCACTCCCTTCCTCCGCAGCAGGGAAAGAGCGGAGGCTTCAGGTGCGGCAAAGACGGGGAGGGGACCTGGTTCCCGCCTGAAAGGGATCGCACGCGCAGACCGAGTCCTCTCCCCCGTCCGCCACCGTCCCTAACTACCGGTTCCCCGCCTCCGCGCGTCGCCCATCTGGTCCTCACCGGTCCCAACCTCAGTACCCACCCCTTTGCTTTCGTGTTCAAATCTGGGGGCGCTCCTTTATTTGCCCGGTCCTTATCTCTGGTAACATCTCCGGCTCTCTCCGCATCTCTGCGCCCCTGTGGGCGGATGCGCGTGCCGGTCTGGTCCCAGTGTGCGCGTCCCTGCCCTCCCCGCTTTCCCCGCTCCCACTACCTCCAGCTGCTCTGGGGCGGGGTCCGCCACCGGCGGGGTCCGGTCGCCTTGGCTCGGCCGCTCAAACCGTGGGGAGAAGGCGTCGGGCTCGGCCCCCTCGGCAGAGCCGCATTCTTCCAGGGCAGGGCCACTCCTCTTCGCCGCTTTCCCAGCGCCGCCGCGGCCGCCGGGAAGAAGGGAGGGAGGAAGGGAGGGAGTGATCCAGAGAGCCAGCGAGAGGGCGAGCGAGGAGCTGGGGACTCCGCTGAACTCGCGCGGAGCTCGCGGGCGGCTCTGCCGCGGCTGACAGAGCTGCGGCCCCTCCCCGAGCCCGGGGCAT